GCAAGTATTTTTTTTAGCAAATTTGTAATGTAACATTCATTGGTTTACTGGAATTACTTATTTACAAGTAACTTTACACAGGTGCTGGTATCACTGTCAACCAATTCCTGAGCCACGTCACCCTGCCCGTTATCACCAACGCAGTCTGCAGAGTCTCCTTCCCCTTGATCGTCCAGGACTCCAACATCTGTACCAGCGGCGCTGGTGGCAGGAGCACTTGCCAGGGTGACTCCGGTGGCCCTCTGGTTGTAACCAGGAACAACAGTCCTCTCTTGGTGCGTATTTATGATTACTTCAAACAATCTAACATTTTTGTAATAATTATTTTATATCGTTTTTTTTATGCTAACTGTCCTTATAATCTACATACAGAATTTAACTTTTGATTTTCAATCCACAGATCGGTGTGACCTCCTTCGGATCTGCCCGCGGTTGCCAAGTCGGTTCCCCCGCTGCTTTCGCCAGAGTCACCTCCTTCATCAGCTGGATCAACAGCCAACTGTAAACAGTGATAAATGCCTTCGAATAAAATGTTATGGAAAAAAACACTATCGAAATACCAATAAATTTTTTTAAAAATATGTTTACTTTTTAATAACTGACTTCAACATAACACTATCGTAGAAACACAATTGTATCCACCCTTACTTTTCTGGTTGATATTTTAAAGGCTAATTATGAGAATATACATTTAACAAAGACCAGGCAGTAGCACGCTCTGATAAACCTGGACTCCAATGAACGTTTCATGCAAGGTAGCCGGTGCTGACGAAGTGTATGGATTCCATTATTATAGTAAAGGGTTGCGAACAAGCAGACGAATCACTTGGTAGTAAGCACAAGTCAACTCCGTAATTTAAACCTTGGGTACGAAATCCCAGCATTGAAGTTTTGTCATTCTGGATCTATGGTGAGATTTAAGTTTCTGCCAATAAGTAAGTTTGACATTGGCGCCGCCAGATGATGTAATGACGATGACGAATGTGACGGTTTTAATGGGTTTTGACCAGCGAGACAACAAGACGACTTTCGAGATAAATTTACTGTTTTCAAGCAAGAGTAGGTCTCAAAGAGCCGTCAGACTACCACTCACTAACAGAGCCTACTAGGTTAGCCGGGACTGTAAATAAAGCCGCTATGAGTTTCGATTGGAACGGGGTGGTTTTAGTTAGTAAGAGTGTCAGACTTTCTCACTTCCTCACGCCTCACCCAGGGTGAGAGGAGTCAGTTGATGATTTTATCCCATAAAAAAAAATACTTTGGAGCCTTTCGTATCAAAGAAATCAAGATCTATTGAAGGAAGACAGTTCGGGTAACTTGATAAATAGGTGTCTCTCAGGTACATACAATTCGATAATTTTGTCTATTTTCTAAATCACGTGTACGATAACTTAAACTTTTATCAGCGAATTAATACTATTCTGTCCAAATAAGATAACAATTTTGAACAATTAAATTTATTTTCTTCACTAATTGATTTATATTATTATCAACTTTTTAAGAGTCCTTTTATTAATATTTAAGATTAAACGTGTGATATGAAGGTGGAATTGTAGGGACAATGAACAATTAAGGTGATTTATATATTTTTTCAATTTCAATGATGTGGGATGGGGATGAATTATGTGGGAGAGCCATGCTTCGGCACGAATGGGCCGGCTCGACCGGTGTGATACCACGGCCTCACAGAAAACCGACGTGAAGCAACGCTTGCGTTGTATTTCGTCGTGTGAGTGAGGTTACCGTTAGGTTACTTCCCCAATCTCCCCAATCCCTGAATCCCCAACGATCCTCAAACTCCTAATCCCCAAATGGCCGGTAACGCACTTGTAACGCCTCTTGTTTTCTAGGTGTCCATGGGCGACGACGATTGCTTTCCATCAGGTGATCCGTTTGCTTCTTCACCACCGGCTTAGGGCATAAAAAAAATGAAAAAGGTATTTGACATGCTATAATACTACTCGAAACAAAATAAGGGCCATCTTGGTGTTTGGCTTTTATCAAAAAGCATTAATGTGTTTCTGGTTTTTAAGAACTGATATGTTTAGATTCTCAAATGAATCTCAAAAGTTGTAAATTTGTTTTATACCCCAAAATACACTTTTAAGAGAAATTGCTGTAAAACAAAGGTTCCAAAGAACAACATAAATTTTCTTTTATGTGACTGTTTTTTAAATATTGTTAAGTTTAAAAGTCGTTATAACCTCGTCTACTCCGTAGGGCCCTATTTGAGTGTATCTTATTTTTTTTTGTCTCGGCGCATTTTAGTTCATTGCTAAACCCTAGTATTGATGCCAGAAAGTCTATTTTTGTCACATTTATTATTTATCGATGAGCAACGTCTTACATAAATACCAAACCATCGCCTACTTTCATGAATAGGGAATGCCATGAGATCAAATTGCTCGCTCAATGTAACTCCTAGCTGTTACAGAAGTTTTATTCAGAGATGGAGGCTCTCTTAGGTCTTCTAAGCGAATTCCGCTCAAATCATAACATTTGGACCCCCGTAACAGTCGTATTCATGGGTACAGGGATCCATAAATCATTTAGGTTGTTCCTCCACACTTGCATTCATCTGGAATACTGTAAATCTTGTCCTTCCTTTCTTTTGAGAGTAAGTAGCGTACTCCAGTATTCCTAATTCAGTAGACATGTTTGTGATCAGACCTTAAACGTGCCGCAAGCTCTGGTTAGTTTAGGCAAAAGAAATTAACTTAGATCGTTAAGCATCTTCCTACATTTTATTTAGAGTGGTTTGGTCAATAGCACAAGTACCAGCAGAATGCAATAATAGGTGGTGGTGATTGGAAATGTTTCTAACTCGCTGAAAACCTCATATAATAATCTGCACAGGTGAGTTTAGACCTCGTTTTATAATTTTGTAGTATCCTAAACAAATTTGAATCTTTCAATAGCATTCCATACGATTCAGATAGTTCCTCACGATACGCTCCACACTACCCATCCCGATAAAGAAGAATTGCTTCAACTGCGGTATTCTTGTCAGAACCACGTTGAAAACCAGCCATGGTATTCACAATCAACACAAAACTCACAAAGAAAACTCTCACAAAAAGAAATATTCAACGATAACGCTTACAGTAAAATGTGGGAGAGCCATGCTTCGAAACGAATGGCCGGCTCGATCGGAATTATACTACACGGCCTCACAGAAACCCGACGTAAAACAATGCTTGCGTTGTGTTTCATCGAATGACTTCTCCCACCTGGGTGAGACGGGAGGGACTGTCAGACTCTTACTGACTAAACACCACCCCGTTCCTCCTCCTGCCCTTCGAGCCGGAGCCTCGGCAATACGTTAAGTCCTCCGCGGCTCCATATCGGCATCAGCCCTATTGGGCCCCATCCGTGGTGGTCTGATGGCTCTTTGAGGCGCGCGCGGAACGCAACGCGCCGTACGCTCGGGATACATAATTAATAATAAAAGAGCTTTATTTAATTACATACCTATGTTAGCATAATATAATTTATAATGTAGGTAGGTCCCTACAAACATAATATACTTTCTGCTTATATGTTAGACGAGTCGACACTATCCTTACATGCAGGGGAAGCAGGGGGAATGCATTCTACAGCGAAATTGCCTGTACGTAAAAGTAAGAATGAAATACGTCAGTTCGATGAATGACATTGGAGACGATGGTTATGAGAAGAACCAAGATTTTTAATGTGGATTGCGCATAAGTATTGAAAGTAATGGGATATTGGGCGAAGAAGGTGAACAAAGAAAGGACAATAGAGTGGTAAGCGACCTTTGCTCACTGCTTTGGCGCATGGGCAGCCACTTTATTTGTTTTGCGGAAACATGATCATATTTATGCAGATTCAAAACGAATCGAATCGTTACTCAGAAGTCGAACTTTTTTTTTATATACCTCTATGTATATTTGATGGGGCGACGTTTGACAACTATCTCGCCTGGATCTGTAAAGTTTAAAAGAAAAAATCAGAAGTCGGTCTAACTTATTGAGGAGATCAGGTCATAGTAGCAGACATCAACATAATCGCTAATAGGGTTCTCACTATTAGCTCGGTTCTCCAAGGTTTGCACCAATATGGCTTTCGTAGCGATACAGAGCACGCAAGGATCCATTAACCTTTTTGCATACATGGGTGATCTGAGAATGCGACTCTGAATTGCAGCCGATATTCAGATTATACCAGATTATTGATCCGATCCGATCCAGCCGATACCAGATTATTGACGTTGGTAACATTTTTTTAGTATTGCGTATAGATATTTTTTTTCTAAGTAAGTGTAATTACTTTTGTTACAAGCTAGGAGTTTGTCCTATAATGCATTTTATTGCCAATAATAAATTTAATGTAACCAATTGATATACGGACTGCAGACAGACAACACCGAACCATCAGTAAATTCTACACAATAATCGTAAATTATGCTCTATTGTGAACCATAATCTAAATGGTACAAAGTGTAACTACTTTTAAATCAATCCAAAATACAAAATCGCTTTCTAAAGCTATTTTTGCAACAATTACTACTACAACATTATATTGATACGTACTTACAATCTGAATACACCCAATGTAAAAAAAGATATAGCTAGTGTTAAATACGAATAAATATTACGTTTTCTATGTGGCTATATCTTTACCCCTTTAATATTTTTTTAATATCTCAGTAACAAGGAAACAACAACTATGAATTATATGAATCCTTAAATTAATTTACAATCCTTCACAACTACTGGTTTAAGTTTTTATCCTACGATGCTGTGGACACGAATATTATTTCCAATATTTACAAGAACGACTTGAAAAATCTTAGAAAAATTCGACCTGAGTGAACAATAAAAAACATACTGTTTTATTCGCAATTTTAGCCTTATCTAATAATCCAAAATGTTCTAATAATATTCAGATAATGCAATCAATAAATACTATAATCATAACGTTAATGTATCATTATCTTGAATTTATCTGACAGATGCAGTATATATACGCAACAGAAAAATATTAATACATATTGATTTATCAATACCGGCAACATGAGGTTCTTGGCTCTGACACTCCTGGCTCTGGCGGCGGTGGCCACCGCTAAAAACATCAACGTCGAGGATGCCATCGACCTAGAGGACATCACCGCCTACGGATACTTGGCTAAGATCGGTAAACCTCTTGCCGACGAAATCCGTAAAGCCGAGGAGGCCGAAGGTGCATCCAGAATTGTTGGTGGTTCTGCCTCCAGCCTCGGACAGTTCCCCTACCAGGTAAGAACCAGTGTCTTTATTTAACTACCTTCATCGTGGTAGCCCAAATTACGTACTATCTACTTCATTCGTCATCATTATTTTGCGCAGGCTGGTCTTCTCGCTGACTTCGCCCTCGGTCAGGGTGTGTGTGGTGGTTCTCTGGTCCGTGCCAACCGTGTGCTTACTGCTGCTCACTGCTGGTTTGATGGCCAGAACCAGGCCTGGAGATTCACTGTTGTTCTTGGCTCCATCCGTTTGTTCAGCGGTGGTACCAGAGTTCAAACCAGCAACGTTGTCATGCACGGAAGCTGGAACCCCAGCCTGATCCGTAATGACGTTGCCATGATCAGACTGAACTCCAACGTTGGTCTCTCAAGTACGTATAATAATATTTAATAATGATTCAGGAGTCGAACGATTTCTGGAAATGTGCAATTAATTTATGGCTTTCTACATTAACAGACAACATTGCCCTCATCGCTCTGCCCAGCGGTAGCCAGCTCAACGAAAACTTTGCCGGTGAAAACGCAGTCGCTTCTGGATTCGGTCGCACCAGTGATGGCATGTATTTTGACATATTCCACGGGTTTCTTAGTTTTTTCTGAACGGCATAATTTACAAGTTTTATAACTGTACAGGTGCTGGCATCAGTACCAACCAGTTCCTGAGCCACGTCACCCTGCCCGTTATCACCAACGCAGTCTGTAGTGCTTCCTTCCCTCTACTCATCCAGTCCTCCAACATCTGTACCAGCGGTGCTGGTGGCAGGAGCACATGCCAGGGTGACTCCGGTGGCCCTCTTGTTGTTACTAGGAACAGCAGGCCTCTCTTGGTACGTATTTTGGAATACAAATGTAATATTATTTAGTTGAATAGTTAAAACATAAAGTTAATTAATATCGGTTTGCTGTTTGTGATAAATATACCTATTGTATTGTAGATAATGTAATAATTTGAACTTCTTCAACAGATCGGTGTCACTTCCTTCGGATCTGCCCGTGGTTGCCAAGTCGGTTCCCCCGCTGCTTTCGCCAGAGTCACCTCCTTCATCAGCTGGATCAACGGTCAATTGTAAACAAATCAGCAATAAAATACAACCAATTATAATAATAATAACAAGAAAATGTTTACATATTATTAATAAACTGCTATAATAATAAAAATCATTTTTTCTTTTCAATTTCTCTTTTACTATTAATTAAATATTATTTGTGTAAATTATACATACAGGCCGAACAGTTTATTGGAAGTTAAAATAAAAAAGAAAGCAAGTAATTGTCACGCCATGTTTTTTGGCAAGCCTATTGTTGTTCAATAGGCTCGTGAATTCTATAAGAAACTGGCAGTGGCATATATTCCCCTGTTTTTATAGTAACTATCGTGAGACATACTAAATTAACTAAAAATCACAGCAAGCAACGGAAGGGCTTTTCGCCACATTCGGACATCGTCGCGACCCCTCTATGACTCGAAACTAGTAGAGCTATTATCAGTATATTCACGTGAGTAACCCGAGATTTTTAAGTAGCAATATATTCCCCTTAAGTAAAATCGCGGGTTACTCACGTGAATATACTGAGAAAAGCTCTACTAGTTTCGAACCACAGAGGGGTTCTTCCTCATGAGCTATCTCTATGAGCTATCTACCTCATGAAATATTAACGTGAGTAGCCCGCGATTTTACTTAATGTAGTATGTCTCACGATAGTTAATATAAAAACAATATATTCCCCTAGTTATTAACCTAAACTTAGCGCGAGAACATTTTATTTTTGATACTATCTAGTGAGTAGAGTGGGGCAACGGCTTTCTTTGAGAACTGTTGTACGAGTCAGCATTAGTTGGCGACTTGGCGATTAACGAAGCGACCTGGTTGCGGCAATTATTACGCTAATTAAATTTACGCTATGTTATGACTAATTTATTCCATAACAACAGCTCTAGAGTTCGCCCACTAGTAGTTCCAGTACCAGTAGGATTCTAAGAGAGCGCTTTTACACTTAATGATTAACTAAAAATATTGAAAAATTTGCACTATGGTAGATGAAAAGAAATGATGCATGAAAAGTATCAAAATCAGTGTATTGTATTGATCACTTTAGGTGTGGGAGATCATTTTAAGTGTGGGAGAGCCATGCTTCGACACGAATGGGCCGGCTCGACCGGAGTGATACCACGGCCTCACAGTAAACCGACGTGAAAAGACACTTGCGTTGTGTTTCGTCATGTGAATGAGGTTACCGAAGGCCCAAAAACCCTCCCCTTCCCCAATATAAGCAATCCCTGAATCCCCAACGATCCACAAACTCCTAATCCCCTAAAAGCCGGTAAAGCTCTCGTAACGCCTCTGGTGTTACAGGTGTCCATGGGCGACGTCGATTGCTTACCATCAGGGGATCCGTCTTCTCGTTTACCGGCTTATGCCATAAAAAAATACAATAATATTTTTGTGCTGGTTAAGTATGTGAGCTGATAAATAAAGCTTATTCTTTATCTACCTTTGTTAAACTAAGGCACAAATCTCAGATTCTGATAGATGCAAGTATTCTGTCACTATCATATTTCACCTTCAAATCAAAATATGATCTACTTCACTAAATAAATACATACGCCACAGTTTTAAGAAGCTCGCTAAAAACCAATGCAATACATTTTAGGTGCCCAGGGAACTGTGACGTGCTATGATGACGTCACGTTATACGCTGATTCTAATTGGCGTTGGTGTTCGTCGGCGTCGGTCCATGAGTCGATTTGACGTTTCCCGAGTGCTAACGAACGTGTTCACGAGTACTTTGTTTACAAACTGTGGGCATGAAACAACACGACATACCGAAATACTTCTATTTTTTTAGATTTCACATGTTCTTACTGGAACTGAAATTTCGCGAGTTAGACTCTAATAATCGACCTGCATTTGTAACTCGCAGGGCTCTACGATGAATATGGGCGTTCCACAGGGGTCAATATTGGGTCCCTTTCTCTTTTTAGTCTATATAAATGATTTGCCATTTATATTCAAGAATGAACCAAGAATGGTGCTTTTTGCAGATGATACTTCATTAATTTTTAAAATAGATCGACGTGCTAATAATCTTAACGACGTAAACAGCTCCATTCTTCGAGTGCAAAACTGGTTCACCATTAATAATCTAGCGCTTAATGAGAAAAAAACAAAATGTATTAAATTTAGTTTACCAAACGTCCGAAGTAATGATTGTGATGTTGTTTTAAACGGCCAAAAGTTAGAATTTGTCGACGAGACGGTATTTTTAGGCATTACATTAGACAATAGACTACAATGGGGCCCGCATATAAAAGCGCTTTCGGGGAGATTAAGCTCAGCTGCTTTTGCAGTTAGACAGATTAGACAGCTCACGGACGTAGATACGGCAAGGCTTGTCTATTTTAGTTACTTTCACAGCATTATGTCGTACGGCATTTTGTTGTGGGGTCGAGCTGCAGAAATAGAATCAATTTTTATTCTTCAAAAGCGGGCTATCCGAGCAATATATAACTTACGCCGTTGCGAATCGCTAAGAGAATTGTTTAAAACGATAAACATCTTAACGGTGCCCTGTCAATACATATATGAAAATATAATGTATGTAAGAAAGAATAGGCAATTGTTCGAAAAAAGAAGCGATAGACACAATCTTAATACTAGAGGCAAGAATAAGTTAGCTGTACTGCAATTCAGACTGTCCAAGGTACAGAAATCCTTTATGGGGTTAGGTATTAAATGCTATAATAAAATACCAAATAGCATACTAGATCTAAATGAAAGTAAATTTAAAACATATATTAAGCGCGAATTATGTAAACAAGCGTACTACAGGGTGATTGATTATCTTGAGGATAGGAATGCTTGGCAGCGTGTTGGTTCGGCTCCACTGGACAATACTCAAATGTAGTCAGTACCTAGTTCAGATTACGATAATAGGTAATTTAACACTTTGATTCCGATGAAGGCAATCTATTTTTCTTGTGGCATCGAGCATTTCTTTCTTTATTTAAACAAGAGTATATTTTTTATTTTTTTCTTGTATAGAAGCACTATTTTATATGGATTGTCAGTATACATATGTGAGGACCATGTCAGACTTAAGATATTTGTTTTCTCTTGGTTTTTTTTTTTTTTTCTATTTTAGTATGTTCTGTTATTTGTATGTTGCGTCAGGTATGTCTTTACATTATTCTCACATGTGTGTACAATATTGGAATATGTATCAGAGCAATGTAAAACAGACTTTTTTTAAAAAGAGTAACGAATGGAGTTTCTTGCTCGTTCTTCTCCACTCGAATCGACATTTTGGAACGAGCGCCTAGCTTCACTGACGGACAGACTGACAGACTATTATATATCTCATATTTGTTGACGTTTCAAAAGTACCAAATTATGGTCTAATTGAAATAAATGCTTTTGAGTTTGAGTTTGAATTCGAACAACTTGATAACGTTCAAATGGAATATCTTAGTGTAATGCTCTGGTTAATTATTACCATCAGTTTTCAGCCACACACCAAATATCCACTGCTAGATAAGACCAATAAAAAAAAAATTCATAATTCAAAAAATGCGAAATACAAAAATATTTCGTAAATACGTACAATTGTCCTCACAATGATAAATGCCTGCACTAGGACAATCCTGTATCGCAAGCGAGAGGAGTTCTAAGTATAATTCTTATATTAACACATTTTATTTTTTACAGACCCATATACTTAACATTATACAACAGAAAACAATGTGGGCTGGGTCGTTCCGTTCCCTACGAAATGGTTGATCGGACCGATTGCTGGCCTACACGTCATACCCGTGAACGGGTGCCTTCTGCTGGAACAAGTCGGCTCGCTCATCGTGCTGGTGGGCTGATTCAGTAGGGTTAGTCTAAGATAATAAGACTATAATAATTAGGCAACAACATAAAGTATTGTGTGTAGTACAGTGGTAGGCGTAGCATGTAAGATCTTTATAAAAAAAAAAATATATTTGACCATAGAAAGTATGTACTTGTAATATGACAAGGGCACGGACACGAGTCCGGGGAGAAATTCAATTTTTTATTTATTAAAAAAAAAAAAACAGAAAACAATATGATTATTTTAATATACATAATACATACTACATACATATAAAACTAAACCAATGACTTTCACATCAGCAATAACTATAGCCAGCTTTTTGCTACTTTTATCAAGTCGTCATCGGTCCACCTCGTGGTCATTTTGATTGTTCTAAAATATTCGGAAGTACTATTAACGGAGTAGAGTAACGAAAGAAGTATACAGAGCGGATATGAATGGGGCCGTCGGTAGAGGGCGCCCTAGACGGAGATATAGTGACCAGATTGGCGATATATTAAAGAAGGGCCAAATTAAAAGTACCCTTGACCAACGAGTATGCATGAAAAGATTGATGACTGTTATTGAAGCGAAAGAGGTATGTAAGAATCGTAGTAATTGGCGTTCCTTAGTCTCTGCCTACCCCCATGGGAGACAGGCGTGAAGTTATGTATGTATGTATGTATGTACTATTAACGTATTAGTAGACACTATGGATTAATAGAAGTCAATGAAACGAAGAATTCAACGTAACCTAAATATCACTATCTGATAAGAAGTAGGTAAGTGTTCTAATGTTAATAGATATTTATTCTGCTTATGAATGTAAACAACAACAATAAATAGTAACAAAACAAATAATTGTTAAAAGCAGCTTTACGGTTCGTACACTTGCAGATTGTAGTTAATTGTTAGAATGAGAAGAGAAAAGACCACGAAGTTGTAGTTGAAGAAGTAAAGTTGTATTACTGATAGTTACACTAGTTCGTCGATATTGACTATTCCTTTCTCTTAAGTAGTTTGTGTTATCGTTATAAAATGCACACTGGTCCGTGTGTGTGGCAACCGTGTATTTACAATTAGCATGTACAGTTGAAGACCGTACAGCAGCTTTATACGACAAAATATTACTAGGAAGAAGCACTTCAGTTTTTTTTTGGGATGAACCGGGAAACGAGCCGACGGATCATTTGGATACCGTGGACACCTGGAACACCAGAGATGTTACAAGTGCGTTACCGGCCTTTTGGGGAATTCGAGGATTGTTGGGGATTCAGGAATTGAGGAGATTGGAGAAGGGGTTCTCTAGTAACCTCTTTTACACA